CCCCTCGCCTCGTCTCTTTGCCCCTAAAACCAGGATTTTAACGGCAGCGAGGCTTCAACACCTCCTGCGACGGGGCTCCCCGGAGCAGCGGGATCCCAGGGACGGTTTATTTCCCTGTGAGCAGGACGGGAGAGCTGGCTGCTCGGCCACGGCCCCGAGCTTGGCTCCTTCTGCGGGGTGAGGGGACACCGCCCGTGTCACACCCTGCACCGGGGACACGAGCCCACGGAGGGATGTCACAGCCCCGCTTCCCCGGTGGCCCTGGGACACACGGATCAGCCAAACCTGGGGTGGCTCCTGCCCGTCACCTCCAACCGCCCCATTCCCAGACGGGCGGATCTCACCGGTCAGCCCCGGGAGAAATCCCTCCGGAGCCGCGCCCCGGGAGGGAAGGACTCCAGTTTCCTTCTTCCCTTTTCTGTGTCGGGCCAGCAAACACCAAAAATATTCGCTCGGAGCTGCCAGGCCAAGGAAGACTCAGGGTGTGCGACCCGATGGCCTCGTACCGGCCGTGGCAGGAGCTCCCCAGTCTGGTAAACTGGTCCCAGTGTGTGTGTCTGAAACCGCTGCCAGTTTCTGGGCCGTTACCTTGAAGCTCTGAGGGCAGCGGGTAGGAAGGGTGGTAGTCGGGAACGGGGAGGTTGGAGAGATAATCGCCGCCGAGAGCTGCCATGGGAGGGCTCCGAAGCACGGACGCCGGCTGGTGATCGACATTTAACACCCTGAAAAAGAGCACGGAGCCCGTGAACCTTCAAAAAACAGAGCGGGAGGATTCTTCCACTGCTTATCGGCAAAAAAAAAAAAATAAAAATTCCTGATGCTACCAAGCCGACAGCAAAACCAAACCTTCCTCCTCCCCTGTCCCACGCCAAATCCGCATCCCCTCGCCCGGCGGTGAAAGCAGCAGCAGCAGCGCTTCCCGAGCGCAGCCGCGGATCCGGTTACTGCGACGGCCTCGGGAAAGGGAGCGAGCGGAGAGCAGGAAATTAAACAAGCCAAAGCCCCGCGAAGGGGGGGCCGGGTTCCTGCCTCACCCCTTGGGCCCGGCCGCGGCCGGAACCGCGCTGGAGCCTGGACACGGCTTTTTGGCAGGTGGCTCCTCCTCGTCGGACGAGCTGTCCAGCGTGAGATCAATCACCTCCACTTTTTTTTTGCTCTCTGAAGAGTTCTTGCTCTCGGAGCTCACGGTGTAAAGGGAGGCGGCTGCAAGGGAAAAGCAACCATCAGCTTCGGCTGCTGAAATGGAGACAAACCAACCACTGTCGCGCCCGCACGCACCACAACCCTGCGATATTCGGGCTTCCGAACAGCTCGAACCAAACCCACGCCCCATCCCAGAACATGCCAGGGCTCCATTTCCACTGCCCACCTGGAATTCACGCAGCAGTTTCGAGAGGAACCTGCCTTTTTCTTGGTTTTTTGAGAAAAGCCGTGTGCTAAGGGCTTGTCACGCTCCCGGTATATCAGCGTGATCTCAAATACCCGCTCCCAGATGGGAGACAAAACGCTCTGAACGTTGCTTTGTAAAATTCAAAATTGTAAATGGAAACGTCGCTTTAGAAAAAGACAACATCCAAAAGTAAAAAGAGTTGGCGACCAGAGCTGCCGTACCCTCGATCCCGCTGAAGGCAGCCGGTGCGCACACCTCCGCCTTCTCCTTCTTGGGCTTCATGGGGCTCCAGGAGCCGTCCTCCATGAACTGGATCTCGTCGCAGTCCGAACAGGAGTTCAGGATTTCCATGAACAACCTGGCAGGGGAGAGCACAAGCTGCGGAGAGCGAAGAGGACAAGGGCTCACGCCTCAATACGTGCGCAGGGGCGGCAGAAAGGACGGGGACGGCGCTCAGGAGATGGGGGACGGGGGGTTGGCAGAATTCCCGTCCTGTGCCAGGATCACCTGCGAGCGCAGTCTCACGACGGGAGTTGGATGGACACAGGAGGGCTCTGTTCAAACCCCCACAAGCAGCAAGGAAGCCAAGATTTTGACAAAGGCTGCTTGTTCTCCAGGAGAAATCTCTCCAGATCGGCATCAGAGCAGTTTAGGGACCGAAAATCAGATTTGAAGTTACTCAAGGTTGTGACTTGTGTCTCTGTGCCAGAGGATAAACCCGAAAATAAAACCATTCTCCGGGCTAAAGAGGCTCAGCTCACCCGTCGATGATCAGGTTGTCGTACGGAGCTTTCTGATCGCAGACGGGACACGTCCAGGTGGGTTTCTTCTCGTTCATCTGCAGGTAGAGCGCGGCGTCGAAGCACTGGAGGTGGCTGCAGGTGACGGCTCGGCAGGGCACCCGGCAGGGCCCGCCCAGCCGCATCTTACCCAGCTGCGGGACGAGAAGGGCGAAAGGACGCTGGGTTTGTAACCACGGCCAGCCGGTGGGTTATTCCCTGGTTGTTCCTTTTTTCTCTCGTTTAACAAGAGGTTAAACTCAACGTCAGTGAAGAATTAACACGCAAGGGGGAAAAAAAAAAGCCTTCCTGAAGGTATTTTTGCCTTTTTAGTTTGGTTTTAAGCTCATTTCCACCTCAAACACACGCCAACAGTGTGACAGGCTCCAGCAGGGACTATTCTTTGTCTTGGCCAAGTCTCAGCAATTTTTTTAATGCGTGAAAGCCAAGTGGGTTTGATTTATTTAGGAATTGAAGCTGACTTTTGAACAAAAGCAAGGCTGCAGCAGCATGCTGGGCTAGCGGGACGTGTCCCTGGCCATGGCAGCGGTGGGACTGGATGAGCTTTAAGGTCCCTTCCAGCCCAAACCATTCTGGGATTCCACGATTAGCCGTTGTCTCACTCCAAAGCTTTCCTATGGTAAAGCCGGGAAGCATTTCGTAAAGACCCGTCCATGAAAAATGAAGGAAAAAAAAAAAAAAAAGTAGAAACCTACCGGACACATCAGGGAAACGCGCAAGCTCGTCGTCGCTATCTCGCTGTCGGGGTCAGCGGTGAGTTTTTCTTTGACTGCAAGAAGAGGAGGGGGGAAAAAAAGGTCTCCTGTCAGCATCCTCCTCCTTTTACAGGTGTAAATACGCACAGAGGTGATTTATCCCTTGCACCAGGACACTGATTAGCCAAATTACAGGCAGGTGACGCTGACGATGGCAGATATTATTGCTATGAGGTGAACAGCTCCGGCACGAGGCTCGCTGCTGCTCACAGGACAAATATTTGGGAAGTATGGCAGCAGCGATGTGAAGAACAGCTGGATTTTGAGTTTTGGTGAACGGCATCACTGGAAAATAATCCGTCACCTTCACAGCCCCGACCCTCCCGTCACGTTCGCCATCAACGAGATGCGGCAAGCACGCGGGGGCTTGCGAGAAGGGGCGCGGGCAGAGACCCGTGCTTGGAAATTCAGACCCATGTTGCCATTATTTGGAAATTTAGACCCGCTCTGTCCTCCCAGGATGGGATCGAGCACGGTGACACCTCCCCGAGGGGACTCACTCAGGGCTCGCGAATGGTCTGGGTTCCGGATGCCCTTGGCTCTCAGCTTCTGCAGCAGCGTCACCGACGTCAGCTGCTTCACCAGGTACACCGACAGCGAGTAGTTCTGGTGAGAAGAAGGTGACACCGCTCAGACCTCGAAAAAAAACCCCAGAAAGGCGAGGGAGCTCTGCTGGATCTGCGCAGCGGGATGCTCCTCGATTCTGCCTCGCGGACCCCAGGCTGCAAAATTCCAGCAGTTACGGAATGGGGACGAAAGGGAAATCATCTCGCTCACCCGGCCGAACTCCGAGGACCAGTTCACCACGATGGTGTTGGGGACAGTTGCCGAAAGCCGTGCCAGCGGAGTGATGTTGACGGGGCGGCTGGGTCGCTTCGGCTCCACGCCGTTTTTCGTGGGTGGGAGGTAACCCTGCAAGGAAAGAGAGATTAACCAAGAGACAAGAAACTCCCTCCGAGGTGGACGGCCACATCCAAGAACCCACAAACCCAATTTCTTCATGGTACCTCCAGACATGACATCACCCCAGAGCTTGTGGGAGAATTTCTCTACAAATCTCAAAGCCGTACGTTATTATTCCTCAACGTCCAAGAAATGGAGAATAAAGGTTCCCTCCGACATCCGCATGCCGGGATCCTGCCGTAATCTCTCCGCAAACACCGAGCTGGCAGTCCGGGATGTTTTGTGCACAAAAATCGCTGAATTAAAAACCAAATCCTACCCAAGCGCAACGAGGGGAACCTAACAAACGACATCCCGTGACCCATCGGACACTGACCCCATTTTTGCTTTGTTACACCCACATTCCCTGTTATTCAGCCCAAAAGTGTCTTTTCTGGGATCACTCCACCCCTGGGCAGCTGGAGCCAGAGTCAGCAGCCGCCCATCACAGTTTAAGCAGAAGTAAAGCAAAAAAAAAGCATTCACAGCCCGTCCAAAGGGCTCTTCCGCTGCAGACGACTCACCCACAGCAACGTGAGAAGCCTCAGCCGACAGCAGAACCCATCCTCCACTTCCCCCTTTCCCCCCACGAGGCCGGAAACCACCTCT